AGCAAAGAAAGAAAATGAATGAAGCAAAGAAAGAAAATGAATGAAGCAAAGAAAGAAAATGAATGAATCAAAGAAAGAAAATGAATGAAGCAAAGAAAGAAAATGAATGAAGCAAAGAAAGAAAATGAATGAAGCAAAGAAAGAAAAAGAGATTCATTGAACAAAAGAAATGAGAACGAAAGAGAATATTAATTAACAGGGCAATGGAGTCGCGGTGACTGAGCGGTAAAGCGCTTGGCTTCAGATCCGGGGGTCGCGGGTTCGAATCTTGGCGAAGACTAGGATTTTTAAGTACGGGATCTTTGGGCGCTCCTAATTCCACCCAGATCTAATGCATTCCTGACATTAGTTAGGGAGAAGTAAAGGCGGTTGGCCGTTGTGCTGGTCACATGACACCTTCGTTAACCGTGAGCCACAGAAGCAGATGACCTTTACATCATCTGCCCTATAGATCTCAAGGATCGAAAATATAAAAAAAAAGAAAGAAAAAGGTTTGGGGAAGGGGAGGGGTGGGGAAAGTGAAAGGAAAAAAAGTAAAGTATTAAAAATACTTTTTATTTAAACAAACACACTTTTAGCTTAATTTTAGAATGACACTTCATTTTGTAATATTATAATATCCTTATTTTGTCCTAAAATATCGTCCAACACCTTTCGCCCTTCAGGTCAAGACTTTCGCGTACTACTATGACAACTTTGGTCCGGTGAATGCAAGAGACAACGAGCAAAGTGAAAAGTTTGCTATTGACTGGGTGGTGGACACTCGACCCTGGAAGAAGGTTGGTCCTTGTACAACACTTACTTATCTATGTGACTGTTAAGATGTACACAGGTGAGACCTTGTACAATTTTATGCTGCTCTCGGGCGGAGGCTGTATGACAGCTGAGAGTTATCTGGCTGTTATTATCTGGAAATAGTTTGGGATTTATCATAAAGCTGTTACCTGGATGTGGACGCGGTGGCTGAGTGGTTAAGCGCTTGGCTTGCGAAACTTGGGGTACTTGGGATTAAGAATTTCGGTTTTCTTATGGCGCCCCTTAGTCCACCCAAGTCTAATGGGTACCTGACTTAAGTTGGGGAAAGTAAAGGTGGTTGGTTGTTGTGCTGGCCACATGACGCCCTGCTCGTTAACCGTTGTCTATAGAGACATGACCTTAACATTATCTGCCCCATAGATGGCAAGGTGCTAAAGGGGAAGCTACTGTATCTGGATATTGCTTAGGAGCTATCTGAGAGTTTTTATCTGGAATTTTTGTGGGAGTTATCTAGCAGTTGTTGTTGTGGCAAAATGCCATACCTAATAAGAACCTTGACTCGAGCAGGTTTGTTTTGCTGAGCGCCTAAAGGCAGGTTGAGAACCATTTTAAGGATACTTCCTCACCGAACAAGTCTATTATGAAGTTCTAGTGTGGATGTGAAGCTTTGTTATTGAAAATAACTTTTTAAATGTTATTGTTTGCTATACATAAGGTATTAACAATTTTGAATTAAATTTTTACTAGAGATGTCGTGCCGCATCGTTAAAGAATGTTTGTGTTCTACATTCAAATGATATTTCAGGTGCTGAGAACTGACGCATTTGGAACGGCCACATTTGGTTATACCACAGACCTGGAGACGGCAAACACGATGGGGTGCAGCGTCCGGCTGAACATCGAACAGGACGAGTTGGGCGGTCAGTTCTTCACTGAGGCGGACAACGTGCGTTACAATATTGCAGAACAACAGGTTTGTAACGTAGAATGCTCGTCTGCTTGGTCACGTGACTTTTACCATTCTGGACTGTGTCCAATATCAGAACTTAAAAGACTAAAGTTGTACCAGCTAATTATCTAACAGATCACAAGAAATTAGATAGTAGAAGAAATTGTGTGTGCAAAGAAGAAAGACAGAAATATGGATTGATAGAGCGTTAGAGCGAAGGAGAGTTGTGCATGAGATCGTGATTGAAAGATGGAGAGAGGCTGGGTAGAAGCGAGAGATATTCAGGGAGAGAAAGAAAACAAAAAAAAAGAGAGAAATAGAAAGATAGCAAAATAAAGAAGAAGAAATGGAAGAGAGAGCGAGAGAGAAAGATTCAGAGACAGCGAAAGAAAGAGCAAAAGAGAGTAAAAATGAAATATATATAGAGAGGGGAGGGGATAGAACGAAAATATTAATTTACTAGTAGTACATCCGGCAGTAGCATCAAAGTTATATATTACCTAATAGCTGAAAATCTGAGGTAAAAAATGGTAAGAAGAGACTGAATAAGTTGATTTAACTAATTTATACCTTTTAATCCTAAGTTTAATAATGCATCAAAAACTGGACACTCTTACCAATAGCAAATTATATGTACATTCTAAATGTTATTGTTTCATGCAATATATTCATAATATTCAGTCCATATCAACCTGTATCGTGCACAGCACTACATAACGTATTGTAGTCTAGGTTAGGGTAAGTGTCAATTGCCATAGTTAGCTGTAACCCTTAGACAAGTTGATCTAAGCAAAAACAATTAATACACTTATTTTTCAAACCGCACACATTTATTATTGTGAATCTAGATGTATTTAAAAATTAACTACATGATTGACTCAAAACAATTAATGCAATTTCACTAAATGACAACTTAGTTTAAAATTCTTTTTTATTATTTTCCATGTTTTGAATTTTTGCCATTTTTTTAGATCTTCGCCCAGGCCTTGAAACATGTCAGTGACCAGAGGTCACCTGGTGTCGACGAGTACACTTTACAGAGCAATGTCTTCCGCTGGTCACTCATGGTCAGCTCAAACGGTGTGGTCGCCATGAATGCCAGGCACCTGAGCTCTCGAAATCACTTGTACGACGCCATCTCCCCGGCAACCAATGTCACGTGGTTCATAAACTGTTAAGATTGAACTGGGTTAGGGTTATCGGTTAGACTGTGTGAAAAGGGAGAATACTCATTGTGTCCTTCAAGATGAATTGAACTTAACTTTTTAAAAAATTAAATGTCAAGGCCAGTCCCTGGTCAGCAATATCATCATGTACTTCAGAAAAGTGCACTCCAAACAAGTTAGTAAAATACGGATTGGACTATTTAGGAATTAGAGTTGTAGGGTATGCAACTGTTTCTAATATTATCTTTTCTAACGTCCTTGGATAATCCTATTTTAGACATAATGCAGAAGTTGAAAGATACAAAAAATACTTCATTACATGCGTTGAATGCACTAAATAACTATATTTAATTCTACCTCTCCTAATTATGATACCATCATTGATTTATTAAATTAATTTTTGGATTTATAAGCTTTAATTTGTGTTACATAAAACGAGAGTGCATTCCCCTACAATTCTAGACCAAAAGTAGCAATTTTTCGGTTTAAAAACATAAATGTTATTGAAGCTTAATCACAATAGGGTAGACTATAGGGTAGAATGTAGGGTAGACTATAGGGTAGACTATAGGGTAGAATGTAGGGTAGACAATAGGGTAGAATGTAGGGTAGACTATAGGGTAGACTATAGGGTAGACTATAGGGTAGAATGTAGGGTAGACTATAGGGTAGACTAAAGGGTAGACTATAGGGTAGACTGTAGGGTAGACTATAGGGTAGAATGTAGGGTAGACTATAGGGTAGACTATAGGGTAGAATGTAGGGTAGACTATAGGGTAGAATGTAGGGTAGACTATAGGGTAGACTAAAGGGTAGAATGTAGGGTAGACTATAGGGTAAATTTAGGGTAGACTATAGGGTAGAATGTAGGGTAGACTGTAGGGTAGACTATAGGGTAGAATGTAGGGTAGACTATAGGGTAGAATGTAGGGTAGACTATAGGGTAGACTATAGGGTAAATTTAGGGTAGACTATAGGGTAGAATGTAGGGTAGACTATAGGGTAGACTATAGGGTAGAATGTAGGGTAGACTATAGGGTAAATTTAGGGTAGACTATAGGGTAGAATGTAGGGTAGACTATAGGGTAGACTAAAGGGTAGAATGTAGGGTAGACTATAGGGTAAATTTAGGGTAGACTTTAGGGTAGAATGTAGGGTAGACTGTATGGTAGACTATAGGGTAGACTATAGGGTAGAATGTAGGGTAGACTATAGGGTAGACTATAGGGTAGAATGTAGGGTAGACTATAGGGTAGACTATAGGGTAGAATGTAGGGTAGACTATAGGGTAGAATGTAGGGTAGACTATAGGGTAGAATGTAGGGTAGACTATAGGGTAGATTACAGGAAAGACTATAGGGTAGAATGTAGTGTAGACTATAGGGTAGATTATAGGGTAGAATGTAGGGTAGACTATAGGGTAGACTATAGGGTAGACTATAGGGTAGAATATAGGGTAGAATGTAGGGTAGACTGTAGGGTAGACTAAAGGGTAGACTATAGGGTAGACTATAGGGTAGACTATAGGGTAGAATGTAGGGTAGACTATAGGGTAGAATGTAGGGTAGACTATAGGGTAGACTAAAGGGTAGAATGTAGGGTAGACTATAGGGTAGACTATAGGGTAAATTTAGGGTAGACTATAGGGTAGAATGTAGGGTAGACTGTAGGGTAGACTATAGGGTAGAATGTAGGGTAGACTATAGGGTAGAATGTAGCGTAGACTATAGGGTAGACTATAGGGTAAATTTAGGGTAGACTATAGGGTAGAATGTAGGGTAGACTATAGGGTAGACTATAGGGTAGAATGTAGGGTAGACTATAGGGTAAATTTAGGGTAGACTATAGGGTAGAATGTAGGGTAGACTATAGGGTAAATTTAGGGTAGACTTTAGGGTAGACTGTATGGTAGACTATAGGGTAGACTATAGGGTAGAATGTAGGGTAGACTATAGGGTAGAATGTAGGGTAGACTATAGGGTAGACTATAGGGTAGAATGTAGGGTAGACTATAGGGTAGAATGTAGGGTAGACTATAGGGTAAAATGTAGGGTAGACTATAGGGTAGACTACAGGAAAGACTATAGGGTAGAATGTAGGGTAGACTATAGGGTAGATTATAGGGTAGAATGTAGGGTAGACTATAGGGTAGACTATAGGGTAGAATGTAGGGTAGACTATAGGGTAGAATGTAGGGTAGACTGTACACATGTGAAAAATGAGCAACTCTGTCAGAACGTGGGAAAATACTTCTCGAGAAAATAAAACTATAAATAGCTAGCTCTTTGGTGTATCCGGTGTACAAATAAACTTTGAACTTTGAACTTAGGTTGAGACGTAATTGTTTCCTTGTCTTGAAACATTCTCCAGGAAGCTTTAAGACTTTATTTTCAAAGACCTTTCTGTTTTTGTTGCCTCTAAACTTGCATGTTGATATTTTGTTTATATTCCTAATAATGTATAGGAAAGTAAATACACATTGAAAACTATTAGTTTTTGGTTTGTTTTATCTTGAAGAGACTTAATTGTGTGCACGCGTGTGTAAATTATATATCTTCAGACTTTGTACAAAACTGTTTATTCAATCACTTTCTGTCTGTCTGGAGTGGACCATGGTTTTGTTCTCCCATTTCCCGTATTCTCAAATTAAGTTAAAACTTTGCACAATTATTCATTGAACCTGACAAGACATGAATCAATAAAAAAAATAACCCATTAGTTAATTAATTATTGATGATTAATTATTTTGTTTGATATTGAAAAAAGGGGAAATAAATGCTACTTAATGAGAGATGTGAATGCATATATGTGTTTACACCCCCCCCCCCCTTTCTTACGCTACGACATGCTTTTTCTCCTACTTCCCATTCATGGATCAAGTTGAAATTTTGCAAAGATAATAACCTCCTTTATACAATTCAGAGAGCGATTGGTTTCTCTTAATAGATGCCACGTATCAAGGCCAAGTTGTAATTTAACATATTAAATTAAATTAAATTCTGTTCAAGGTTAGGTCGAGATTGGTTTTTCCTATGACGTTGCACATCCAGTAATCACGCATGTAACGTTTGATGGAAAAGTATCTGATTGGTTAGAGAAATAATTTGATTGGTTAATCTAATTATGTGAGTAGAAGGTCAAGTACCGTCACGAGGACAGCGGAACACGCGGGATCTAGAATCAGTCGTGGAGCGAACTTGCTAGAGAGAAGTCGTAGGTAGAATCTCATAGAGGCAAGACGTACATTACTCTTGAGTTAAAATTAATAGTGAACAGTTTTGTACTTCTACTAAATCTAGTAGTTGATTTAAATATTTCATATTCTTGATACAGTTCACTTTGTAAATGCTGTATTATACGTTCGTGTTTCCAAGTTAATAATTAAAATTCTGTATTTGAATCAAAAGGATCTTCTTCATTGAATCTAGTAGTTAAAATTTAGATCTAGACGTTATAAAAAAGACACAGCACGTCAGAGCAATTCATCTTATCAGCTGACATCTTCAAATAAGACGTGACTCATCTTATCAGCTGACAACTTCAAGTAAAGAATCCTCGGCATCACGGTTATAATATCTCAGCACCCCAGACAAATATCAACTAACAAGAGAAATTGATAGTCAAGCTCAAGATCATCATAGGCAAAAGATTATTAAAGATCTCCTCATGATCATATTGACCGTGATAATAGCTAATGAATGTTAAATATATATATATAGTCATAACAAAGAATGATTGCCTGGTTATTAGCTTTGGTCGCAAAGATGTCGCCTACACAGTATTTCCCTCTCAACACACATGTGATGTGTTCAAAGGAATGGGAAATACCCGACACAGTTGTGATAGGAACGTCACAGGTTCTGCTGCGTTGTAGCTACTGATTTATTCACAGGGGTGACCCCCAAAGCCATTCCCATTTTTGAGGTATAACCGCAAGGCAGCAGAGGTTTGAATCCCAGAGTCTTTCTTGTAAACAGGCACATTGTTAGAACTTTGAGTTTTTCTTATAAATAAAGAGGCACATTGAATGTAGAGTTTTTCTTTTTATATAAACAGGCACACTTATATTTGAAATAGTTGCAGAATAAACAGCCACAATTACATTGAGTTATCTAGTAATCTAGTCAACTTTCTGTCATGTTATTGTGCAATAAAATATTGCGTCGTCTCTGTGTTATTGTCTAGGTGTGTGGACCACCAAAAATTACTAAGACGTAGTCATCGGCTGTAGGTAGGGACGTCATAATATGTTCCCTCCCAAATCTATCCCAAACTGATGGATTGACTTTACAATCTTTGACTTCATGTTGACTTGATGTTGACTTAATGTTGACTTGATGTTGACTTGATCACCTTTGCAGGCACAGAATGTAACAAGCACGACTGGGTTAGCACATAAGTATATACTTATGTTTTTGAAAAGGGACATATGTAATTATAAAATTAAAAACAGTCAGAAAAAAGAAATCTAAAAATGAACATCTGTAGGCTTTATCGAAACAATTGAAGGGTTTTAAACTATTGTATATATATATATATGCCTTATTTTTATGCAAAATTATAATTTATAATTTCTATTTTGTAAAGGGTTGGCGTGGCAAACGCACACTGATTCCAGAGATCCTTCTTTGAAACGTCATAAGCTATTTAAGATATAGAGCCAATTTGGGAAATTTTAAATTCAGATATGTCAGTGCTAAATATTTCTAGAGGAGCCTGAAGCTATAGCTTGTGTTTCCTAAAGGTACATCCGGCCCTGGCTGATTTCCCTTAGATGTGTCGCAAACATGGTCAGATCAAATGACAAAAACATTACACCGTTAACGCCCAGTTAGTTCAAAACATGATGCAATAGTACACGCACGGTGGTTAAGTCGGTGAAGTCATGTGGTAGAGAACATTGACTAGTTTGTGATGTGAACATTTGAACGACACGTCCTCTTCCATTCCCTAACAGTGTATGGATCCCCCTTGCTGGGCAAGAAAAGTTCATGCTTTGACCTTTACATCCTGTTCCATGATGCTTTTAATTTTTTTAAAATGTATTTTTAGATCTAAAACTTAAAGTAGTAAAAATTCCCCTTTCAGACATGATGATCTTTAGGATAGATGATGTAAAGGTCATCTGTTTCTTTTTGCCTACGGCTAACGAGAGTGTCATATCGCCAGCACAACGACCAACTGCCTTTACTTTTCCCCAACTAAAGTCAGGTACCCATTAGAGCTGGATGGACTTAGAGGCGCCTTATTGATCCCGAAATTAAAAATTCCAGTTCACCAGGATTTGTACCCGCGACTACTGGTTCGGAAGCCAAGCGTTTTACATCTCACCCACAGCGCCTCTAGGTCTATATATTATTAGCGGGTGAAATCATCTATTCCAGAAAAGGGAGTCGGTGATGTCTTAGGCAGTTCCAGTAACAGATGAAGTATAACAATGCAGTCACATGAAATAAAACAGTGCAGTAGTCATAAACTTAGTCCTTTAAGTCTGTGTAACTTTACATTGTCAGCGATGGAAGTCATAGAAAATGACTATTTCACATTCTTGGTGACTTCTTCAATTCTCCCAGCCCCTCCCCCCGCCCTCTCCTCATTTTCCAGTCCAACGATTAGCAAGAAACAGTAAATGTATAGAAAATCAATATACAGAAATGTAAAATATAGTATCATTGAAAAGATCAGGGTCAAGGTCTACCAGGCATTAGTTCTTTACTGCCTTACTACTTCCGCTGATTGGACAACGTAAAGAAAGAACTACCATAAGAGGATCAGCTAGTGAAGCCAGTAGAGAGGAAGATTTTGACCATACAACACTTTCCATTGATTTATCAGTGCTGGAAACAAAATAAAATAGGCCTACAAATGGAAGAGTTTACAAAATTCGATTCCGCAATAATAATAAATGCTCAAAAATGATGATAGAAGTTTTAAAGACACAACATTCCATTGACTTGAGACACCAGATACACTGATAGAACACAAAGGGCGTTTATTAGTTCGCCCACATCTTTAACGTAAAGACACGACATTGTGCACTTATAGTCTTACATAATGGAAAGGAGTAGGCGCGGTGGCTGAGCGGTAAGGCGCTTGGCTTCTGAACCGCGGTCCTTGGTTCTAATCCTGGGATTTTTAATTTCGTGATCCCTGGGCGCCTCTGAGTCCACTCAGCTCAAATGGGTACCTGACATTAGTTGGGGAAAAGTACAGGCGGTTGGCGTTGTGTTGGCCACATGACACCCTCGTAAACCGTAGGTAACAGAAACAGATGACCTTTACATCATCTGCCCTATAGACCACAAGGTCTGAAAGGGAACTTTACTTTTTTTTCCTTTTATAATGGAAAGTTCACGATGAAATGTAAAAGAAGTATCGAAGCTTGAGAGTCTTAGTTTAATTAATAGAAATGTTCAAATTCTTTTGATGCTCATTGAAATACAGAATCACGAATTTGTATAAGAACTCTCTTATATTTGTGTGTGTGTGGTTGAAAAGAGCAACATATATCTTCCTCTGCTGATAAGAAGAAAAACTGTGGTGAATATTGCAGTAGGAGCGCTGTGTCAGTCTGTCACATGAAAGATTGCAGTGCTGAATGACACTTTGGCTTCTTTAAAACGGGGGTCAGCCGCTTGAGATGTAACATGTGTGACCTACTGACTGTGCACAATAGATTGATTGATCGCCCTCTTTTTGTCACGGTGAAATATTTAAATGTATTGAAGAGTGAAATGGACCAGACTGGACGAAAATTCTATTTTTAGATCCTTTGTAAAAATGTGAAAGAATTATATATAATGATGTTGTGCCAATGCCTAATTAGCAAGGTTAAAAGTAAATGCAAAGTTGACTAACGGAGTGTATTCTGCATAGATATCACATTCCAGCGGCGTAGTTTGTCTATTCATGTTCTAGAGGTGTAGTCCATGTACATAAAATATGAAGAAGTTGATAAAATCATTTTATAATTGAGAACTAGATCCATGCTCTTCAATAACTTTCTGTTTTTCACACAAACACACATACACATACAAACGAGCACACACACACAAATAAGCATAAAAACTTGGATGAGTTAATTTGAAGCTTGTCTGTAGAAATGACTATTCCAACATAGTCTCTGGTGTCTTCTTGAACTGTTGTTCAGTTTGGACTGATACCTACAATGTTAGTTAAGCATTTAGGAGGATTGACAAACATTTAGGAGGATTGACAAACATTTAGGAGGATTGACAAACATTTAGAAGGATTGACAAACATTTAGGAGGATTGACAAACATTTAGGAGGATTGACAAACATTTATGAGGATTGACAAACATTTAGGAGGATTGACAAACATTTAGGAGGATTGACAAACATTTATGAGGATTGACAAACATTTAGGAGGATTGACAAACATTTAGAAGGATTGACAAACATTTAGGAGGATTGACAAACATTTAGGAGGATTGACAAACATTTAGGAGGATTGACAAACATTTAGGAG